GGGGGGAGGGAGGGAGGGCAGGAGGAGGGAGGGAGAAAGGGAGGGAGGGGGGAGGGAAGGGGGAGGGAGGCCTTCCAAGAGCATGCTCTCAGTGCCCCGCCTCCTCCCGCTCCCCCCCCCCCCCATCTCAGTGGCAGCATGGACTGGAGATCAAGCCTTCCGCACATGAGTGTTGGAGTCATTTAAGAACAAGGCCACACTGCCCCCTTCTCTACCTCAGTTTCTTCTGAGTCCCACAGAGCAATCAGCGCCTCTGCTGGATCCCAGTGACCCGGTCCATTCCTGTCTCTCAGCTCTTGACAGTTCTAAATTCAGACCTGGGTTAGAGGGGACAATCTTTGAGGCTTAAGTTTCTGAACAACAATCCGTTCCCAGGAGAGATGAGAAGAGGGGGTAATAGATGAGGGTGGACGGGGACTTGGAAAGAAAAGAGCAATTGTTCCCAGACAGAGAGTCTATGCGGAGTGTGGGGAGGAGGCCGGATGTCAGCCGTCTAAACGGAATGATTCAGAGGAAACCTGAGGAGAGAAAAAAACCACCAGAGAGGCCCAAGCCAGCCTGATCGGGAAGAGAAGGAAAAGTCGGAGCCAGGAATGCCCCAAAGCAGCCACCTTATGCCCCACATCTGCACCTCTGAGATGACTTAGGCATGCTGGGAACGTCCTGTGAAATGCCACAAATCCTCGAGGAATGACAGATGAGGTCATCTCAAGCCAGCGACTGGAGGGAGCTTTCTCACATGGTGGAGCTCTGCCACTGACAGACACCCACCCCCACCAAGGCCTTCCAGAAACTTCTGTACAGCTAACAGAGACAAGAGCGTCCCTATGGGATGTGCCTCAGAGAGCCACTGTGGGTCCAAGTGGAGAGGGAGTCAGGTGTCACTTATGAGTCACCCGCGAGTGAGTTATCTGTTCTCACTTCTTAACCTCCCTGGGCATACAGTACCCATGCCTCCTTCCCTGGGATCCACAGCTCCCGTGAATGACACAGCAACTAAAGCTGACTGTCACCAGTTGTTGAAGAAGCCAGCAGAAGCTCCAACCTCGGGTTGGGGAGACGGCTCAATTGGTAAAGGGTGAGGACTCAAGTTCAATCCCAGGGTCCTGCGCAGTGGGAGGAGAGAGCTGACTCCCTTGGATTGACTGCCCTCTGTCCTCCACACCCATGCGCTGCGGCACACATGCTGTGACCCTCCCTGCAAATAGATAAGATGTTTAAAAATAGCAGAACGGTTATTACAAACACCAAAAAGCCCTGGGCTCTCCAGAAGTGTGCACCCCAGCTTGGGGCACCATTCTCTCCATGTCAGTGGCTCCTGCTCTCCCCAGGGTCCATGCCTCAGTCCACTTATATCTAACCTCACTCAGTTACATGGAAAAAGGAGAGTGCAGGACACACCAGATGTTGCTCTGAGTACCCGGGACTTCATGTGCACAGAAAGACCTTGGCAAGGTTTGTCATCTAGTTCCACACAATCTTCGTGTCAGCATGGTGGCCTAGGGATTTGATGATCCTGATCTGGGGTCAGGTTTAGGATCTACTGCCCACTGGAGCCCAAATGTGTTGGTTAATGCTGATTATTGACTTGACAGGCTCTGGGACCATCCAGGAGATCAGCCGCATCACAGGTCTGCCAGGGGGATTCTAGACTGGGTTACAGAACCGGTAACTTCCTTATGAGCCAACCATAAGCCTCCCACCTCTCCTCACTGGAGCTGAAGCAAACATTCTTCTGGAACGCAAGAGCAGAAGTAGAAACATCTAGAGGTCTCCAGGGAGGGGATAAGGGCATCTAGGGGAAGGTGGCAGGAGAGGAATGAGAATTCCATATATTGCCTCTATGGGAGCTGAAGTTGCAGGAGAAGAGTTGGACTCCTGGAATACAGTGGGTGGAATGGGGGACAGACCTGAGATAGCCCTTTTTAGCTTGTGACCCTTCTCCCTATACTTTGTCTCTGCCTGGGTCTTTGGGACAGACAGGAGCTCAATCTGCCCAGAAGGCAGGGAAGTAGGTAGCAAGCAAGCGTTACTCTTTTGGTTGTGACAGCTGTCAGTCCTGGTGCCTAAGAGTAGATAATTCCACAGTTATGCTCATCTACAGATGCTCCTTGCTTTACAGACAGGTTATGGCCCAATATGCTTGTCATAAATTGAAACAGTGAATTTCAGGAGATGGCTCAGTAAAGTGCTGAGCAAGCATAGGGTCATGATCTTGTAATCTCAGGTCCTAAGCATGGTCACATGTGCTTGTAATACAGATACTGGAAAGTATAGACAGGCCTCTGGGGGCTCACTAGACAGTTAGCCCAGTTTACTGGTGAACTCCAGGACAGTGAGAGACCCTGCATCTTATTTAGGGTGTCCACTGCTGTGAAGAGACACCATGACCACAGAAACTCTCATAAAGGAAAACATCTAGTTGACATGGCTCCTTATAGTTCAGTTCATTATCATCATGGCAGGACATGCAGGTGTGCAGGCAGACATGGTGCTGGAGAAGTAGCTGAGAGTTCTACATCTTGCAGGCAACAGGAAGTGGTCTGAGTGTCTGGGGGGTATCTTGAGCATATGAGACCTCAAAGCCCTCCATAGTGACACACTTTTTTCAACAAGACCAACATTAGCCACACCTCCTTATAATGCCACTCCCTGTGAGTTTATGGGGACCAATTACATTCAAACTACTTGCCTCAAAAAAAAAAATACAGACCTTGAGAAACGACAGTCAAGGTTGTGTTCTGGCTCCCACACGTACAGATACCCACAGGAACACCTGCACACACACACATGAGCATACACAGAGAGAGGGGGAGAGGGAGAGAGGGAGGGAGGGGGGAGGGAGGGGGGAGGGAGGGAGGGAGGGAGGGAGAGAGAGAGGGCAAGCAAGCCCATTGCACAGAACAAACTACTTCCCTCAGCGAATGTATGGCAGACAGCTATAACTAAGGGCTGCTGCCAAGCATGAGAGGGGATCACATTCCATATAATGGCTCTAGTCCAGGGAAGACCAAAATGCAAAATGTGACTCCTACTAAATGCATATCTCTGTCAGGCCAACGTAAACCATGTCAGACGGCAGACCCTGCTCAGCTGTCTCATGGGTGTGGTTGTAGGCCCATTCTGTGTCTTCAGATATGATGTTTCTGTCAGAAAGATGGTGATTTCCCAGGGATTATGAGTGTCATTGACATTCCCAGTACGTCACTGCCCCAGTCACTCCCCTGAGTGTTTCTGTGTGTTCCCCACTATCATAATTTAAGAAAAGACACCATGCAACAAGGTTCAAGCAGAGGGTTTTTTTTTAATTAGGGAAAGGGATCATAAAACTGGGAAAGGGAAGGGGGGAGACCAGCCTCCAGGGACAGGAGCAGCAGGAGAGAGGACAAAGGAAAGAGGGGGAGAGGGGGAGCAGAGAGAGGGAGAGAAAGAGAGAGGGATGGGAGGTGGGCAGGGCCCATTTTAAAGTGAACATAGTGACTATGCACAGGTGGTGCCCTTAGTGGCTGCAGCTGAGGGTGCAACTTATCAGAACCCCAAGGACAGGCCAGTGCAGATGCCCAAGTACTAACACCTGCGTCTGCCCCCAAGTCACCCAGAACTCAATCAAACAGTTTGGTTATAGAAAGCAAAACCTTGGATATTTTCTTCAAAGGCAGTATTTGCCATACTGATTCGTCTTCATTCAACTTGACACACAAACTAGAGTCAAGAGAAAGGCAAGAACCTCAATTGAGAAAACGCCTCCAGAAGATCTGGCTGTAGGGCATTTTTAAAATTAACAATCAATATAGGAGGGCCCAGCCCATAGTGGGTGGTGCCATCCCTGGGCTGGTGGTCCTGGGTTCTATAAGAAAGCAGGCTGAGCAAGCCAGTGGAAGCCAGTGAGCTCCTCCATGGCCTCTGCATCAGCTCCTGTCTCCAGGTTCCTGCCCTGCTTGAGTTCCTGTCCTGACTTCCTTCAATGATGAACAGCAATGTACAAGTGTAAGTTGAATAAACCCTGTCCTCTCCAACTTGCTTTTTAGCCATGGTGTCTCATTGAGGCAATAGAAACCCTAACCAAGACCCTGGCCATTGCTTAAGGGGAAGGCCGTTGTAAAAGCCTTTGCAGTCACAATGGTTTTGGTTGTTTCCCAAGTGAACATGGACTGCTTGGAATCAGGTTGAAGAATTTCTGCCTGTCGGGGAGGAAGATTGATCAGGCTTGAACACTTTCTATTCCAACCCTGAAAATCAGCTGGGAGCTTAGAATTCCCTGATGGGGGACGGGCTGGCAGTCACACAGTATGCAGAATGCTGACCCTGGGCAGTTGCCCCTCACAGTGCTCCCGGGTTTTGCTGAGTTCAGGAGTGTGAGCAGGTCTTTACGGGTGATGTTTGCTTCCATATGCACGCAGAGACCAGTCTTCCCAAGACATCTCTGGTCCTGTGCTCACTGGGCAGGTCAGTCAGGTTAATGTGTATCAGGTCAATGCATGGAGAGACAGACTAAGAATGACTAAGTGGTCCTTGCCACCAGGAAGCAGGGGTGAGGGTGGGAGGGCTGTGAGATCAGAAACTGCACAAAGTACCCCAGTTCTGTCTGGTTAGCTCGCATCACACCAAACACCATCCTCACACCACGGGGGGGGGTGTCTGGATGGGACTGGGTGCAGACCCCCAAGACTCTCCAATCTCCCAGCCCACCCGTCAACACACCCCCTTGACATAGGGGATAAAACAAACCCTCTTTTATAAAAAGCTTGTGGGGCTGCTGAGCCTCAGTTTCTCCATCTGTGAAATTGTGAAATGTGTTCATTCTTGGGCTGCCTGCAATACATAATCATACCTGATCCCCACCCGGCACACGCGCGCGCGCGCGCGCGCACACACACACACACACACACACACAGTGGGTGCTCAGAGCGCGGCCACGCCCCCGCAAAGACCACGCCCCCACCTGCTGACCCAGCCCCCCGCGTTGTCATGGCGACACGCGTACACAGGCCGGGCGGGGAGCGCGGGGTGCTGGTGGAGCTGGAGACTCCGCAGAGCGCGGCAGGCCGCCTCGCCCTGGAGCTGTCAAGTGGCTCCCAGCCCGCGGGGCTCTAGGAGGAGGACAGAACACTAGCTTCCTCCTCCTACCAGGTGAGTGCGATTCCAAAGATGACTGGCGAAGAGCAGAGGTGATGGGAGGAGGCGTGTCCCCGCCCCCAAGCTCTTCAATCCAAGCTCCAGTTTCAGCGCGGCTGCCCAGACACCAACCCTACCTCCCTAAGTGCAGTCACATCCTATCCCCACAGGCATCCTGATGGGACCTTAGGCCCCTAGGATGTCCACCTGGTGCAGCTGGGATTAGCAAGGGAGCCCTCTGCCTTAGGGGGTCATCCACCAGCCGTCAGAGAGATGCCCTCATCTGACCTCACATGCCCAGCTATAACTCGGAGGAAAGAAAGCATACAGCTGGCTCCCAGGCTGAGTAGCCCTGCAAGAATGCTCACTCCATAGCCCATCTGTAGCCCGTCTTTGACCCACGTGTGATGGAAACTGTTTGGCTTTTGGCAGGGTATCAAGAGAGAGCCAATCCACAGTTTAGCACGTTCAAATGACCACCGTAATTTCCAGGCAGCTGAGGGACTGCTCCGGGCCAGAGTAAGACGTAGAAACACTTAATTTCCGTCTAGGGTTGACTCTGAAGTGGGAAGTGAAAGGCAGAGCCCTCCGCAGCTAGAGGCGGAAAACCTCTACATGCCTAGTACGGCAGCTCTGGGCACTGGAGATTTAGTAGTGACCAAAGCTGTCAGGATGGCAGAGGGCCCCACCCCTTTACCTGTCCTCTGTCCACTCCGGGTTCCCTCATGCAGGTGGGTGTGGTGGCACGTGTCTGTGAACACAGCTCCCAGAAGGTGAAGGCAGAAGAATCAGGAGTTCAAGGACAGCAGAGACCCAGGTGTCCTCACCATCACAGCTAGGGGTTGTTTTGTTGTTTCTATCTCCGGTTTCAAACCTCTACTTTCCAGAAATTTCTCATTTGAAAAGAAAAGGAGAACCATTGCTCTTACATCTGGCATTGAGATGTGTCCCCGGCACCTGGATGGAACGCAGTTAGAATTCAGACAGAAAGATGCATTATCACCAATGTTTTAAGGAATGTTCAATGTTTTTAAACTGTGCAGAATTTATTTTGGAGTGCATTGTGAGGCAGAAATATGAATGGATGCGTAGGTGGGAAAGAAAACACAGCAAGCTGGGCATGGCGGTACATACCTGTAATCCTAGCGCCTGGGAGGGTAGAGATGGGGAAATGAGTTCAAAGTCATTCTCAGCTATACAGTGAGTTTCAGACCAGCCTGGGCTACCTGTCTCATAACCCCAAACCTAATAATGATAATAACAATAATAGCAAACTTTTGATGACAGAATCTGAGTGGCGTGCTCATAGGAGTTCAATTTCTACTCCTTTCTTTTCTTTCTTCTAATGTGTCTTGGGGTTTTGCCTGCAAGCATGTCTGTCCAGCTGTGTCCACTCAGTGTCCATGAAGGTCTGAAGAGGGATCAGATCCCCTGGAGCTGGGGTATGAATGGTCATGAGCCACCATGTGGATGCTGGACAATCAAACCAGGGTCCTTTACAAACCTGAGAAGCCTCTTGCGGAGGTTTTACTGTCCACCAGGTCCCACCGCACTGCTTCAACCCCAAATAAGCACACAGAGACATATATTAATTTATAAACTGTTGGCCGATGGCTTGGGCGTCTTATTGGCTGGCATTCTCTTAATTACTAACCCATTTCTATTAATCTAAGTATTTCCACATGGTCTTATCTTACCATAGAAGGGTCCAGATGTTACTCCTTCCCCCTCTACATGGTGTCCTCTTCTGTCTCTGCCTACCTTTCCCAGAATTCTCCTCGTTGCCCAGTCCTGCCTTTCTTCCTGCCTCTATTGGCCAAACAGTGTTTTATTCATCAACCAATAACAGAAACATATATATGGAAGGATGTCCCCCATCAGAAGCCAGTGCTTTTAGCCTCTGAGTCATCTTTCTAGCTTGTTTTGATTTTCTTTCTATGTGCTCTATCCCACTCTCAAACACAAAATCCTCCTGTCTCAGCTTCCACAGTGCTGGGTTACAGGCATGCACCCCCACACCCAGCTCACTGTCTATTTCAAAGATCTCTGTATATTTGACATTTCCATAATAAAAGCATTGGGGGGAAATCTATGCCCAGTTCTGATCACACAGAATCTTGCATCTTCCTACTTGATCTTTAGACATCAGTCTTTTGGTCAGTGAGATGGTTCAGCAGGTCCTTGAGCAAGCCCAAGGATCTGAGTTTGAGTCTCATCACCCATCCACAGAAGGAAGGAGCTGATTCCTGCAAGTTGTCCTATAATCTTCATATGCCTACTGAGGTGTGTGGACACCTGCATACACACACACACACACACACACACACACATACACACACACAGTGTTTTAAAATTGAAAAGGAAATCACTCCCCTTTCCTAATTCAATATAGTGATTTATAAGAGAGTATCAGTTGATGCTTGCTTTTTCAGTGGCCAACTCTTGGTGCTTTAAACTCAGTGGAAGGGTGTGTGGGTCTCTGAACTGGAGTTTGAGAAGCCCAAGTTAGCATCAATGATAGCAGAGTTTGTTATGTGGCAGGCAGCCTAGGAGAGAGTACCTTGGCCACAGTGCCTGCATAGTAAATGCCGGGTCATAACTAATCCACATGAGCAGCGGTGGATAACTAGGTGGGCAGCCATCATCCGTGGCATTCAGGTTGCGCTTGGCTTATTTAGAGCTTTGCTTTTTCTTCTCCTAGTTAAGAAATACCCAAGCTAAGAAAAACACTGAGTCAACTCTTCAGCCCCCTCCCCCTTCACAACCATTTGTAACTCCAATCCCAGAGGATCTGGTACCCTCTTCTGACCTCTACATGCTTCTACACACACTTGGTGCACAGATATATGCTCAAGCAACACACATTCACATAAGGTAAATAATTCTTTAAAAATACCTTAGATTACAGGATTTCAATTCTTCTCTGCTAGTGATCACTATTAGGAGAGATGACCTTGTCACCACCTGGCTACTCCTTGTCACTACAGACCTCTCCCTCAGGACACGATGACCCTATGTTACGTGTCCTCTAACCAAAGCCTTTCTGGACCCTTCTGCAGGGAGATCAGAGAGAATGAAAGCTTACTTGAAGAGTGCAGATGGCTTTTTTGTCCTAAATAAAAGCACCACGATCGGCAAGCATGTGGATTCCGACCTCGTCTTACAGGTAAGAGCATAGTCCACCCCTGCCCCATGCTACCCCAGGGCTCCTTAGTGCGGAGTAGATGCAAGGCTCTCAAAGTCCAAAGACTGCATCCGGCAAGCAGCCACCTTAGTCCTCGTGCTGCCAAAAATCCACTGGAGGTGATGAGCCTTCTTCCTGTTGCTGTACACATGTCTCAAGTTGTCCCCTGTCCAGAAGCAGCCTTCTGGTGAGTTTGGAAGGTGTGCACAGGGCAGGTGCATTGAACTGCCCTCCCCTGCCCTGTGCCAGGGGAGGCCTCTCTCTATCCAAAGCACCCCTTCCAAGATCTTTCCCTTTCCATACCTGTAGCGACCGGCTCGGTTATGGGGCTACAATGATCCGAGCGAAGGGCTAAGGAGGTAAATGAAGACAAAGACAGCAGCTCATTCTTACGAGGAGAATGGCGTTTATTTTAACAAGAGTGGAGCCTTATATACCAATAGCAGGCATGGTGGAAAACCACCAAGGTCAGAAGCCTCCATTCCCAGGACCCTCCGGTAAAGTGTGGGCCAAAAACAGGAATTAGCCTTTAGACAATAAGCATGGACAGAAAACAGGAACTTACATGCAGGCCTTACTGGGAGGAGGGGACAAGAGGTGCTTTACTAGAAGCTCCTAGTCACAAGTTGGTCAGCAGACCCCCATGGGGGAAGGGTGCAACACATACCCTGCCTCTGAGGGGACCTGGAGTCCAGGAAGCTCTGAGGTGAAACCTTGGGCTTAGCGGCAGCCCTCGTTTGATCTCACTTCATTCTCTGAGGAGCTGTGGTTTGCTCCAAAGCCTCAACTCACTGACAGCCAAGGAGGTGGAAGAAGCGAATAATAAAAACAGAGGTTCAGAGCCTCTTTAAATATTCAACCAGGCTGAAATACGTGTGTATAGAAGAACAGAGAGGCAGGGAATGGAGCCCCTCCAGCGGGAGAGCAGGGACATCTGCACCACCACAGACCTGGATCCCACTTCAGGGTTACAGACAGGGCCCCCTCCCACCATCCCTGAGCCCTGAAGCCAGCCCTCTGCTTCTTTATATTTATATTAATAAAACTGTTGTTTGGACAAGGTTACATCAATAACATCACACCATGTGTGTGTGTGACCTTTTGGTTTGGTTTCCCTTTCACTCAGGCCTGGAGATGTGTTTAGATTGCTATCTTGTTTCTTTTTTATTGCTGGGTCATATTCAGTAGTATGGACACACTGCCATCTATTTAACTGCTGTGTATAGGACATAGGATTCAGTGTATGGACACACTGCCTTCCATTTAACCGTTCGTGTACCGGACATTGAGATTATCTCTAGTTGGGGGTCGTTACAGATAACCTCTTGTTTCTGGTTGCTGTCTGCTGCTGTGATAAACACTATGAACCAACCTCATATTGGGCATAGATGTCATTGTATTTTGACATTAAATTTCCTGATGATGAAAGGGAGTTGAGTACTTAAAATCATAGACAGTAGCCAGCAGTGGTGGCACGGACCTTCATACCCAGCACTTGGGAAGCAAAGGCAGTTAGATTTCTATGAGTTCAAGGCCAGCTTGGTCTACATAGCAAGTACCAGCCCAGTGAAGGGCTGCATAGTGAGACTGTCTGAAAAATGAAAACAAAACAAAGTACAAGGGGGAAAAAATCAAATATAATCATATGACTTAGGTACAGCTAATTTCTGGGTCTTTTCTTCCAGACTTTTCTCTACTCCCTGCACAGATTTAGGCTCTCTTGTGGAAGCAGAGAGTTCACCTTAGCCAGTCTGGTCTCCACTGTTAACACCACACATATTTCATAAATATTTACCTGGAGTGACAGCACCTAGGGCAGAGTCACATGATCCTGCAATCAGGAAACAGACACAGGCCATGAGTGCTCGCAGATGTCCTAATAGTCACATGTTGGCATCAGGGCTCTAGAGGGAAGGCCAGCAAAGGTCAAGGAAGACTCAGCTATCCAGGGGAGTGAGGGAATTGCACATGCAAAGGCCCTGGAGTGTGAGTCCACGTGGTGAGCCCAGACTACTGAAAGAAAAGCCATGGTCCGCGTAAGAAGACTGGGGAGGGGTTCAGAGGCAGGTGGGACTCCTCGTGTGGCTGTTAAGACTCTGCTCCAGATGGGAGAGCAAGGGAAAAAGAAACTGAAGAACCCACACACCCCCACAGCGAGGGAAGGGACAGAATTTCCTAATGGCCACTCTGGCTGCAGTGTGGTTAGATTCCACGCCCTGGCTTAACCCAGCTCAGCGGTAAACCCTCCTGAAGTGTAATTTGTACAATTTAATACTGGAGGTGGTCTCTCTCTCTCTCTCTCTCTCTCTCTCTCTCTCTCTCTCTCTCTCTCTCTCTCTCCTCTCTCTCCCTCTCTCCCTCTTTCTCCCTTCCTCCCTCCTTCTCACTTCTCCCTCCCTCTTTCTCTCTTCTCTCTCTCTGTCTTTCTCTCTCCCTCTCTCTTTCTCTCCCTCCCTCTCCCTCCCTCTCCCTCCCTCTCTCTCTCTCTCTCTCTCTCTCTCTCTCTCTCTCTCTCTCTCTCTCTCTCTCTCTCTCCCTCTCTTTCTGCCTGTGTGGCTGCCTACGTAGGCCAGATGAGAATGTGGGAGCCCTTGGAGCTGAGTCACAGCAGGTTGTGAGCTCCCTGATGTGGGTGCAGTTAATGAATTTCAGAGCTCTTCTGAAGAGCAGCCAATCCCCTTAATCACTGAGCCGCCTCTTCAGGCCCAACTTTGATTTTGAGACAGCTTTTCACTGAATCTGGAGTTCAAAACCTAGGTTCCTGGGATCCCCCATGGCTAGGGTTACAGATGCCCCTGCCATGCCTGGCATTGGTGGAATCAAAAGCCGGATTCTCATACTTGCGTGGTAAGCAGGGTACCAACTGAGCCATCTCCCCGCCCTCTTCCTTTGTTAGTGAGATGAGTCTCACTCATTATGTTTCCCAGGCTGGTCTTAAACTCTTGGACTCAAGCGATCCTCCTGCCTCTGCCACACAGGCAGCTTCGGTGACAGGTACACGTCGCTGTGCTTGGTGAACACCATTGTTACCCGAGTTCTGCCGAGAAAGGGCTTCAGTTCTTTTTGAATGAAGAAATGTCCCCGGCCAGCGGCCAATGGACTTCTCACCTGTTTACAAGATTGCTTATTAAATGCAGACTCCTAACTTTCCGATTCCCCCACTTGCCACATCCCAGCTAGCCTGTTCTGTTCTGGCAGCCACCTCCCCCTCCCCCTTAGTTCTAGTATGACTGATGTCACTGTCAACTTGGCGGGCTTTAGAATCCCTTGGAAGCACCACGTTTTGCAGGTGTGTCCATGAAGCCGCTCCCATGGAGGAGTGACTGAGGGGATCCCTGGGCTCCCTGGCTGGCCAGCCTAGCCACACTGACAGGTTCCAGGCCATCGAGAGGCTCTGTGCCATTGAATAAGATGAACAGCACCTAAGGAGGGAGATCGGCACATGGGTACACATGAGCACACACTGTCACATATGAACATGCACACACACAATGCCACCCTATGGAATAAAAGCCACTATTATTATTATCCTCCAAAGTGTGCAAGCGGATCTTAGAAAGGCCAAAACCAGCCGGGCGTTGGTGGCGCACGCCTTTAATCCCAGCACTCGGGAGGCAGAGGCAGGAGGATCTCTGTGAGTTCAAGACCAGCCTGGTCTACAAGAGCTAGTTCCAGGACAGCCTCCAAAGCCACAGAGAAACTCTGTCTTGAAAAACAAAAAAAACAAAAAAACACACACAAGACAGTCAGGAGTGGTTTTACATGTAAGACTGACTCCAAGCTTTCCCATCTGGCTTAGGGGACACCTAAAATTCCTGTGCGCTAACAGATAATAAGGCAGCCACCTAAAGCCATGGAATCCTCTGTGAGAGCTAACAGGAAATGGAGAAGCTGAAGCTGACAGATTCAGGGACTCTCCTTTGAGGCAACACGTTGGGCTGGCTCCCTCTGCTGGCAAACTAGGGTAAAGCGTTATAGGGTAACAGCAAATGTCTTGAGGCTGCACTAGGGTAGCCACAGAGTCCCTACCTGGGATACAAAGGACAGGTTCTCAGAGTAAACAGAGCCCTAGGTGCCTCTTTAAGCAGAAGCCTGTCAGAGTGGGGCTGGAAAGGACATCCAGCAGCTAGTGTGACCAATGCTCTGGCTTGACAAGCGTGGTGGCTTGAGAGAAAATGGCCCCCAAAGGGAGTTTATTCCCTTTGGATATCTAAACCAAACCACTAAACATGTCAGCCATTCCAATTCAATGTCTTTCCTTTATAAGAGTTGCCATGGTCGGGGCTGGAGACATGGCTCCGTGGTTAAGAGCACTGACTGCTCTTTCAGAGGACCAGGGTTCAATTCCCAGCACCCACATGGTGGCTCACAACTATCTGTAATTCCAGTTCCAGGGGACCTGACACCCATGGCAAAACACCAATGCATATAAAATAAAAACATTAAAGAAGTAGAAACCCTAAGACAGCAAGCCAACGGTCATAGAGCCTCGGTACAGTAGGAAAGCAAGGCTAAGCATTCAGCACAGGACGAATCTCCAAGATGGAGCCTGCCCACAAAAGGTCTTGCAGCTGGGCCATCTCTGTTTCTTTGAGAGAGACCCTTGAACTGGCAGAACAGATGGGAAACTGGCTGGTTTTTGGTGGCCAAGTAGGTTAAGTAGGCTCTACCCCCCAGTAAGGAACAGTATGCAGACAGGCTGTGCAGTCTCCTTCAGTCACCACTTCTGAGCATGTGCAGTGGGGACCTTTGTGGTGGCTGTCGTAAGACCGCATTGCTGGGAAGTGGTTGCCACTGGCAGCTAAGTTAACTTTCTGTTTCACGCAATACATTTGCTGTCTCACAGGTCTTGGGTCAGAAATGTGGGTGGATTCAGTCTCTGTTCTGGGTCGCTCTAAGCCAAAATCAAAGTGTTGGCAGGCTTGGGGTCATCCCTGACATCTGGAGATGGTGTTGCCTCCTGTGTCGTTCAGGCTTTTGGAAGAATTCAGTTCCTTGCGGTTACCAAAGTGAGACCCCCTGTTCCTTGCTGGTTGCCAGTTGGAGGACATAGTTGGGTTCTGGAAGCTGCCTGCATTCCATGACTCCTGGTCCCTTTGTCTTTAAAACCAGCCACAGAGGCTGGTTGCCTGCGATTCCCCTTCAGATACCTCTCTAGATCCAGCTGCAGCAAGGCTGGTCTGGGGTGTGTGTGTGTGTATACACTTGTGTACATGCATATGGAGGCGAGATCACACTAAGATAAAACTGTCCATCTAGAGCAGGCAGTGGTGGTGCACTTCTCTAATCCTAGCCCTTGGGAGGCAGAGACAGGCAGATTTCTGTGAGTTCAAGGCCAGCCTGGTCTACAGAGCGAGTTCCAGGACAGTCTCCAAAGCTACATGGAGAAACCCTATCTCAAAACAAAACAAAACAAAACAAAACAAAACAAAAAGACAAAAAAAACCAGAAACAAAGACCATGCTGGGGAAACCCACAGAAACAGCTGACCTGACTAAGTGGGTGCTCACAGACCCCGTTTGTAAAACTGGAGAACCAGCATTGGACTGAACCAAGCCTTCTGAATGCCGGTGTCTGTTAGGAGGCTGGGCAGTCTATGGGGCCTCTGACCGTGGAACCAGTATTTATTCCTAGCACACGAACGGACTTTGGGAACCCATTCCCCCATGGAAGACTACTCTCTCAGCCTAGACACATGGGAGAGGGCCTAGTGCCCCCCCCCCGCCAAGTGATGTGACAGACTTTGATGATCCTCCTAGGAAGGCCTCACCCTCTCTGGGGAGTGGATGGGGAGGTTGGTGGGGGGCATGGGAGGATGGGAGGGAGAGGGAACTGGGATTGATATGTAAAATAAGATTGTTTCTAAAGTAAAGTTAAAAAACAAACAATTGTCCGTCTTGGAGGGAAGGTGCTGAAGACACCAGATGTTAAAACAGATCAAACAGCAGAATGTTCATCTCAATCTTCCTAAGGCTCTGATACGTGGTGTGGTGACCCCAACCTTAAATTTATTCTTGTTGCTACTTCATAAGTATAGGTTTGCTACTGTTATGAATCATAATGTAAATATCTGTGTTTTCTGATGGTCTTAGGGAACTCCAGTGAAAGGGTGGGGTTGACTCCCCAAAGGGTTCGTGACCCACAGGTTGAGAACCTCTGTTCTGTGGCTAGGTGTAAAATTCCATCCTGCTGGGAAGCCTTTTAAGCTAGGAAACAAGGACGGACATTCCCGGAACTGACCAGAGGCACTAGGTTCCCCCCCCGCCCCCCTCCTGCAGCTTATATAAGCAGTAAGGTTTGCCGAGAGATAGAGACAGACAGACAGACAAGACAAAAATGAGGGCTGATGAGAGGACCCCGCAAGGAGGCCCAGTAGCATCCCCTTCTGAGACAGCCGTGAGCAGCAAGTTATCAAGGATGCTGTGATTTTCATTTTCCCGGCCCTGACTATCTTTCTCTTTCCCAGTCCTCAGACATTGACAACCACCATGCGCTCATCGAATTCAACGAGGAAGAGGGCAGCTTTGTCCTTCAGGACTTTAACTCCCGCAACGGCACGTTTGTCAACGAGTGCCACATTCAGAATGTGGCAGTGAAGCTGATCCCTGGGGACATCCTGCGGTTTGGCTCTGCCGGGCTGACCTACGAGCTGGTCATTGAGAACCAGCCCCAGGTGAGCCCAGCCTCTGCGTGGTGGGGAGGTGCTATGCTGGCGCATGCGTGCGTGCGTGCCTGCCTGCAATCCTGTTCTCAGGCACAGCCACTGGGAGCACTCTGCAACCCCAACCTGACCACACAGGGGATAGCAAAGACTCAACCCAAGCCCAGTTCTGGTGCCTCCCCGGGGGCTTTGCGGAGGAGGTTGTGCCAGCGCCCCCTGATGGGCACTTCCTTGTATTACATGAGATGTTCAGGAGAGGCTGGAAGCCCCAGGGTGGTTTTGACAACGCAGAGATGGGCGCCTCCCTTCCAGGCTGCTCAGCTCTGGGGCTTCTCTCTGGCCCACACGGGTCCTCCAAAGAACAGTCTTCTCCGTGGTACCCGACACTGAGAGCGGATATCTGTAAACTATAAAGTCCATGTCTAAATAGGCGATGGACACAGGCCAATTGTCGTTTTGGCCCAGATCAGAAACGGGTCTGAGGTCACATCCTAAATTATGATCTCGATCCAGGTGAAAGAGAAAACTGAGAACTCGCACAGCCTCAATCCCAAGGAAGCTGTCGGTTATCAGGCTTGGTGGCAAGTGCTTCTACCCGCTGAGCCATCTAGTACTGTCTAGTACTGTTCCTAAAAACCACACTTCACCATGGTGAAACTGTTCTACAATGAACTACATGTGTGTCGAGGGTGGGATTGCTAGTTTTGATGTGTGACTACCTATGACTACAGCAGGCAGTGTCACCACCCCGACCCCCTCGTGGACGTGGGGGTCATTTGGTTTGACAGCTGCCATCAGCAGCTTCACCCAAGTGTGGGTTACCCAGTATGCACTTCACCTAGCTGCTGTGTGGACACCCCAGTAGGATCAAGTAAATTCTGAGTCAGCCCTCATACCGTCTACTTACAAAATGCGATGCTCCCATAGGAAGCCTGTAGCAGTCCTGACTCCTTCGACTGTCTGTTTTTCTTTCTTTCTTTTTTTTCTGAAATTGTGGCAAAATACATTTAACATGGAACTTACCATCCTACCCACATTCGTGGGGGGAAGCCGGCTTGCTTTATGTCCATTCTCTCTGTTTTGTGTCCAGGCATAGAACCAGCGTAGGACGCCCCTCAAACACTAACACCCTCTCCCCGGTGTGCATACCCCCAGATGCCTCTGACTTTGTAAAAGCAACCGCCTGGTGTCTATCAGCTGCTTGTCTTGCTGTTGTAAGAAAATGCCTGATGCAGCAGGGTTTATTTGGGCTCATTGGGTCAAGGGGACACAGTCTACCATGGCATGGCGACAGGAGTGGAGGCGGCTGGTCACATGGCACCCACAGTCAGGAAGCAGAGATGGATGCTGGTGATCAGCTGGCTTCCCCCCTTTTATGCAGGAGATGGCACCGTCCACATTCAGGGTGTGTCTTCCCACCTCCCTTAATTACTCCTGGCAACCGCTCACAGACGTGCCTAGAGGTTGTCTTTCACAGGATGAATAATGGGTTGGGTGGCTCAGCTATTTTCCTGTGGATTCACTTCCTGTTTGTCTGATGACCCGGACCTGAGGGCTTAATTCACACAGAGAAACACCCCACTACCCGAGCAATATCCACATCCCTTACTTCCGTAACCTGCCCGGCTTCTGTTTCTAATCTCTGCCTAGCAGATCCATGCGCTTCATAGGCTCCTTTTTCTCCTTTTGGGTTTCTGTGAGTGCATGAGGACCACCCATGCTGGTATCGATGAGGCCCCCAAGACCTCAGCTTTCCTGGCTTTTGCCCCCCCGTGTGTGTGTGTGTGTGTGTGTGTGTGTGTGTGTGTGTGTGTGTGTGTGTGTGTGTGTGTACACTATGGTACATGTGTAGAGGTCAGGGGATAATCTCAGGTGTTGTGTCTCTCCTTTCATTTACTTGAGACAGGGTCTCTTCTTTTTGGGGGGGGTTTCGAGACAGGGTTTCTCTGTATTGTTTTGGAGGCTGTCCTGGAACTCACTCTGTAGACCAGGCTGGCCTCGAACTCACGGAGATCCACCTGCCTCTGCGTCCCGAGTGCTGGGATTAAAGGCGTGCGCCACCAATGCCCGGCTGAGACAGGATCTCTTATTTATCTCTGTGTGCACCAGGCTAGCTGGCCCATGGGCTTAGAACTCCCTGTCTCTACCTGTCTCACCTTTGCAGTGCTGGGATTACAGATGAACACTGCCACACCAGGCTTCACATGCCTTTTGGGGATACGAACTTGGGTCCTGAAGCTTGTCAGCAGCGTGCACATTACCCACCAAGCCCTCTCCCCAGCGCCCAGGTTTCCTCTCAGTAATGGCCAGATCTCCTGGGCTCTAGTCTAAGAGGACTTTGACAGAACCCAGTTGCACTATGGTATTGTGAGAACTCAAGTCACATCCCTCCCCACATCCCCCAAGTCCCCCCACATCCCGCCCACATCCCCCCGAGCCTGCAGCAGCCTGTGCTGGCAGGACTGACAGCACATGATGGAAAGGGAAGCCTCCATGATGGAAAAGGGAGCCTCCATGATGGAAAGGGGAGCCTCCATGATGGAAAGGGGAGCCTCCATGATGGAAAGGGGAGCCTCCATGATGGAAGAAAACAGAGTCGCAGGCTTCCTCTTCTGCCTCAGCTACTGCCCAGAGCCCTGCTGCAGTCCCTGGTGACCCTGGTCATTCTCTTTCTTCCCTGGTTGATAACGACAGTGGTGACCAGTGTTAAGGGGTGTTAAACATCAGGAAGGGCACCAGGCACTTGATGGACGTTCTCTAATTCCATTTTTTGCAAAGCAGGTAGTCACCGTTAATAGCTGAGGCTCAGAGTCACACACTCATCACTTGTCAAGTGGTGAGGGGCAGAGGACAAAGCTGGACTGGTTTTGCTTAGTGATAAATACTGCCCCCTTAACCAGAAGGGTCAGGTCAGCAAACTCCAGTACCCAAGCATGAGAAATGTGCCCCCCCCCGCCCCACAATAAGAACACTGACTCAGACTACTAAAAGCCAGGAAGTATATTTTGCAACTTTGCAAGTCCCAACATTAGACCAGCACGTCTGGCACCTGACAGAGTACAGAGAGTAGCTAGTATAACCCCAACACAAGCCCTCTTCCCTCTCTTCTCATTGGCTGAGTGACCAGGTGAGTGTAACCCCACATGTCAACCACCTGGGCCTTGGCTTTTCCTTTGCTGCTTATATTTGTCTATTTCATTTTTTAAAGATTTATTTATTTATAATGAATACAGTATTCTGCCTACACACATGCATGCACACCAGAAGAGGGCGCCAGATCTCATTACAGATGGTTTTGAGCCACCATGTGATTGCTAGGAATTGAACTCAGGACCTCAGGAAGAGCAGCCAGTGCTCTTAACTTCTGAGTCATGTCTCCAGCCCCTATTTCATTTTTCAAAAAGATTATTTTATTTTTATTTGCATGTGTGTTCAGGCTGGAGTATGCATGAGTGCACATGTGTGCGTGCATGCACACGCGCTCATACACACAAGTGCAGTTGCTTGAAGAAGGTGGAAGGAGCTGAATACCCTGGAGCTGGGGTTTCAGGTGGTTTTGGGTGCTGGGACCAAACCCTGGTCCTCTACAGAAGCTGCACTTGCTGAGCCCTCCTTTAGCCAAAGACAGTGTGTGGGCCTGTAGCTACATTTTTGAACCTGTTGATTTTAAAGTTTGTCAGGCACATGGTATTGTCACATCTGCAGGCAAGCTTGGCTGTTGATAATTTCACTATCTCATTTTTTGTTGTTTGTGTTTTGCCGTGGGGTCTCTCTATGTATTCCTGGAACTCACTGTGTGTAGATCAGGCTGGCCTCAAACTCAGAGTTCTGCTTGCCTGGCCTCCAAATGCTGGCGTTACAGGGGTACACCACCACACTCAGCCCTTACTCCCAGTGTTTAGTACATACTGGCAGGCAAATTAGACCAGCAGAGTCTGGGTAAGGGTCCAGTGTTTTCTGTTTGTCTGCATAAATCTAAGGAGGCTCCAGGCACTTTTGAAAACAGACCATTATTTTATTTCTTGCACTGAACAAAGTGGAGGCCAGCATCTGTGTTTATAAATGAAGATTTATTGCAGTGGTTCTCAACCTGTGGGTTGCAACCCATTCCGGGGGCAAACGATCTTTTCCCAGGGGTTAACTAAAACCATCAGAAAACACAGAAATTTACATTATGACTCATAACAGTAGCAAAATTACAGTTATGAAGTAGCAGTGAAAATGATTTTGTGGTGGGGGTCACAGCACTAGGAAGGCTGAGGATCAGTTTTATTGGGGCAAGGCCTTCCTCTTCATGTGGGTGCTGCCTCTGCTTACTCTCCTGGTCCACCAGCAAAGTCAAAAGTACTACCTGCCTTGCTATGAGTTTACCAGCCTCCGCTGGGAACACTATTTCGGGCTCCCTCATGCTTTACTCAGTTTGTCGAAGAAGAATTTAAAAACAGCATAAAGAGAAGAAGGAATCAGTGCATGCCAAGCCCCTGCCGTTTGCCAAGGGCTGTGCCAGTTAGTAATTTACTCCGCTAACCGAGAAGTGAGAAAACAAAAAATAGATTTTGAACACTCTTTCCACTGTCTCTTTAAAACAACTGTGGATATGCATATGCAAATGTATGGGTGTGTGTATGCAAATGTGGGGTTGTGTATATGCAAATTGAATATATCGCAATCTAAGCACATTGAGGTAATTGGTAAATATGATGGATCATTAATATCCAATGTGTATACACTGGCGTGTACAAAGGCACTTTTTTGTCTGGGAAGTTTCTTTGAGAGCGTTGGAATGTCTCCATGGTGTAACTTCTGAGGCAGGAAAGTGGGTCTGTACTCTATAGCTGGCTATAGCTCAGTGGTTCTCCACCTGTGGGTTGTGACCCCCAAAAGAACATTGGAAGGTACAGATATTTACATCGAGATTCATAGCAGTAGCAAAATTGCAGTTATGAAGTAGCAGAGAAAGTAATCTTATGGTTGGGGGTCACCACAGCATGAGGAACTGTATTAAAGGGTAG